ATTTATTTATTTATTTATTTATTTGTAAAATTTATATGCCGCCCTATCCCGAAGGACTCCGGGCGGCTTACAAAAAAGAGAAAAAATGGTTTAAAATCGCAACACCACATACATTCATTCTAATCGGGGCTGGACCTCAACAGTGAGGTCAACAGCCCCAGGCCTGCCGGAACAGCCAGGTTTTTACAGCTTTCCTGAAAGTCATGAGAGTGGGTGTGGTCCGGATCTCTGGGGGTAACTGGTTCCAAAGAGTCGGAGCAGCCACAGAGAAGGCCCTCCTCCGGGGTCCCGCCAGCCGACACTGTCCGGCTGACGGCATCTGAAGGAGGCCCAATCTGTGGGATCTTACTGGCCGCTGGGAGGAATGTGGCAGTAGGCGGTCTCGAATGCCCATTTCCAGCAGAAATTTACATGGCGGCCATGTGACTACGAGGGGGTCATTGGCCCGTGGGATCGGGGTCACAAGTAGCTTTTCTCCAAGGTTCCTATTGTTTCCGAACAGTTGCTGAGCAGCCCGCCATAAGGACTGCTTGTATAGCAAAAGCCAAGCTTCTTACTTGGCTGTCAAGCTCCAGGGTTCCCTGAAGGTTCATTTCCGTGTCTGAGATTCCTTTTTGAGAGCGGATCTGCTCGGGGGGAAGAAAGGCGGCCCCTGAGTGGCCTTTCTCGCTCGCCTCGAAATTTGGCAGCCAAGCTGAGAGCCGAAGGAGAAAACAGCCGCTCGGCTCGACAAGGACCGCTTTTGAGAAGAAGCCGCCGGAACAAAGAGTCGGCTGTTGCTTTCCTGCAACAGGCCTTGCCAACAAGGCCGGCATCGGGACGGAAGGCCGGCGTCTCCTCTTGGCTTAAATGGTGGTTCTGAAGATGTTTTGCGGGACTCAAAAAGGAGTTTGAAAGGGAAGCCAAGAAATCGGCTTTTATTTGTTTATTCCGTCATGATTATGTAGGGTATATTGGAGGTGGTGGCCCTTTTGAGAGCTGTACGCAATAAAATTTCATTTTAACGAAATGGGGAAATGGCTGGGGAATTCTGGGAGTTGAAGTCCGGACATCTTCAAGTTGCCAAGGTTGAGAAACACTGGACTAGAGGACATTCAAAGTGACAATAAAGTTATTCTTTCTTCCGTATTCTCTATTCTACTATATACTATTTTCTCTATTCCGTTCCAGTCTATTTTCTCTCCTATTTTCTCTAGTCTACTCTATTCATTTTCTATTGCTATTACTGGAGAAAACGGAGTGCGATAGTTGCTTAAGGCCATACAAATGTTACGGGTGGCCCACAATGTTTGAACTACCAGACAAGAGCATTAAGCCTTTTAGGCCGGGTGAATTCTTTGCCCCCTTGATGCGTCCTCCTCCTCCTCCTCTAGGGCGGGAGGAGAAAACCCACCCTGGATAAATTCTGTAAAGGACAGGAAAGCGAAGAGGTCTAAGGAAGTCTTATATTTTAAAAAATGCAACCCATACAGTCTGATCCGTACACAGTTCCCTCTTCCATCTCGTATGGCTTGAGTTTTGTTTGGGGGTGGGGGTGGAGGAGGGGCTTGTACAAGGCCAAACTCTGCCTTTTAAGACCTCTCTCCCTCTTCCTTTAGCAGCCCAACCCAATGGAACAGCGTTACATGGAGCTCCTGGCCCTGCGGGACGATTACATGAAGCGGCTGGAAGAATTGCAAATCACCAGCAACCCCAAACTCTCCAATTCCTCCTCCTCCTCTTCCTCCTCCTCTTCCTCCTCCTCCTCCTCCTCCCAGATGATGTCGCATGTGCAAACTCACTTTTGAAGGAGAAAAGAGAAGCTTCGGCTATTCTCTCCGAAGCCTCTCGTCACAAAAGCGGTGCTTTTTTCCCCCCCCCGACATGCGGTGGGACAAAGAGAAGGAAAACTTACGATGCCTTATCAGAAGCTTCTTCGGGAAATGCTCGTCCCTGCGGGGAGGATCCGAACTCGGGGGAAGCTTTGAAAGAGTGGGTTTTACGTGCCTTCGGAAACCTCTTCGCCTGGGAGTGTGCTCTCCCGCCATCCTAAAGCGTTGTTTTGTTGCCGATTACCTTTGGCGCAATCCAAATATATAGGCGCTTCAGTACTAATCACCGTTTTGGGGCCTAGCACGGTTTCCTTGGTCCTCCTGGACTCATCCTTCGTACCGGCTGCTGCTAAGACAAGTCTGGCCTCGAGGAACCATTTACGACACCACGTCCATCCGATGGGCCGCCATTTTTAACACCTAAGGTGACGGCATCCACAACAGCAAACTCCCAAGAACGGGAAAACTGTCCTGAAATTGTGTGCCTGTTAAGCGATGGCCTTATTATCTACAGAGCAGATTTAACATTTGACTTTTTTTTTTTGAAATGAAGGCAGGTGTGTGTTTGTGTGCGCGTGTGGCCATGTGACTGATGTTTTGTAATGGGTTCGCCTTCCCTGAAATACATTAAAACCATTTGCAGGACGATTGTGCACTGAAGAAACTTAAAATCCCAGGAGTAACACAACTTGGAATCTTCCCTCCTGACGCTTTGCACTTCAATTAGCCCCAGATGACACCGCTAATGGCAACAGGATTGTGTGTGGGATATCTGGAGCGCACTAAGTTGTCCGGTTGCCTACATTTAAAATTTGCAGGGTGGGGTGCTTTTCCCCCCCCTTCTTGGCCATTGTGTTGGTCTTCTGCCCAATTTTATTTTTCCTTTCCAGGAATCTTTTTAAAACGTAACTTAACGAGCACTTGTAAAATCAGCACAATTGATTTTTAATACATATTTTGCTTAGGATATAAAATTTTAAAGCTGTTTTGGTCATTTCAGAAGAAGCGAAGCATAGGATTTGCGAGGACTGTTTGTAGCTAACATGATTTATTTTAAAAGTATTTGGAAGGGGGCGGGGTTACCGTATGTAAATTACTTTACGTGTAAGTTTTGATCTGCAAAATATAAGGCAGAGATTATAGGATCAATGTGTAAATTGAGGATATGGAAGTCTTTTCTGTAAAGTGTAAATAATACAAGTCTAAAGGATAAAGTCAAACTCCAAAATAATTATAAATTTCTAAGTTGTAGAGGACGTTGGAATATTTTAGGAATAGTATATTTTCAGTATAAGAATAAAAATGGAGCACATTAATAGAATAAAATTGTATACTAAGAAATTTGCACTATGTCTTCAGGGATAGACTAAAATACTTAGTACTTTCAAGCTAGCTAGCGCACGGATTTCCTTTTTTTCATGTTTGTCCTCTAAAATTTCATTCTTTGCTGATGCTTTTGGTCTCTTATTGTACCTATCAGTGGGTACTCTGCTAAAGGGAAGCGAGTTGGGGAAAATGAAATACGCAACTTGTATCACAAGAAACTCAGATAACCCATTGTTCTGTTTTAAACGCTAGAGCAGAAATCTGAAAAGCTACCTAGAAACTCCAACATAATCGTCATTTGTTGGCTTGAAGGTTATATAAGACATCTCTTTTTTCCCCGCTTCCTACCCTGAAACTTTGTGCTTTGTGGTGTAAATCCACAAGAAATGCCTGTTTCCTTTGGACTGGGGAGAATAAATTGAGACGCATTTGCCTTTGTTTGTTTTTTCAAAGTAAAACACTACAGCTGTCCATTCTTGGAGGAAGGAAGTTAACCTAAAGTGGCAATTTTAAATGCCTTTGGTCTTTTTCATTACCTGAATCCCACCCATTTGTGTTGCCCAGCACCAAGGCATATAGGATCTCCATCCGTAGAGAAATTAATGTTGTTTGGGGGGGTGGGGGGAGTATAACTTGGTGAAAATGCTCTTTTTTTTTTCTAAAAAGAAAAAAACATGACTGGCTTAATTCATTATGAAATAAAAATCAAATATTTAATTTTTTTTTTCCTGATTTCTTTCCTGCAAGTTACAAGCATAGGGGAGGGGGCATCCTCAGTCCCGTGCATTTGTTGAGTTTAGGGTAGGATGGGTATTCGTTGCACTGTTGCCCTTAATATTCCTGGCCGGGGACGATGGGAGTTTGAAATCCAACCGGATTTGGAAGCCGGCCACATTTGAAATGCAAAGCTGTAAAGGGATCCAGTATATCCCATCATTGGCCAGCTACCGTGGAAGCATGGGGATGATGACCCAAAGAGAGGAAGGCACATGGGATATGGAGTCCTTCATGAGAGAGAGACTTCTGCATAGTACAGTGTTTCTCAACCTTGGCCACTTGAAGATGTCTGGACTTCAACTCCCAGAATTCCCCAGCCAGCATTCGCTGGCTGGGGAATTCTGGGAG